ATTATATAGAAAAAAGTATGCATGAGTGGTAGGTGTCATGCTTTCCTGATTGTAGATCTTATCTATTACTAGTGTTTTCATTCTAGTTACCCACGACCGACAAAAGAATAGGATTAAGTGAGGGAATTGAAGAAATGATGGCCTAAGTTCTCTTCTCCCAAACCAGATGTATAGGATGCCACATTTGAGAGAGCTCTTCAACGTCCAACCTACCTTTCTCCCTGGACAGCTCCAGAGAAACTTTTCTCTTCTCCTCCAGCTCAGCATCCAGCTGATTCTGCAGCTCAGAGACTTGCTGCTGTAGCCGTTCTCCTATGAGCTCATTGCTCCAGTCAGGCTGACTACTGCTGTCCAGCATGCTGACAATGGAAAGCAAGCTCTCAGATGGATACTCCAAGGTGTGTGACATGACATCTTTATCACACAGTTTCAGCATCTTCTGGGCCTAATTCCCCATTCATTCCCCTACACATTTTCTCTGCCGTTGCTTTATTTGTAACTGTCGTTTACCAACTGCCTTGGAACTTTTGAGTCCTATTGAGTTGTTGCTCAGTACCATTTCTGTTTAGGTCTCAAACATCTCACTGAGCAAACACCCCAAGTCATATCCATTTCCCAAGAAACTTCTCCATCATGATGGCTTTCTTTTGTCAGGGAACTGTGTATGTACCAAGACATAGTTCTTGGTACTATGTCTTGGTACATAGTACCAAGGCGGATTAGAAATGAGGAACAAAATCTTCCTTTTCTCACACCCCATTCCCCCATCTACTTTCACCAACAGTTAGAGAATATCTGCCTTTGACCTAGATTAGAAATTATTATGCTGAAGGGCAGGAATTAAACTCTTCAACAACTGCATCCTCCACCCTATGGTATCTAGCTAACAGAGCAGACCCATTTTGAGTATAAAATACATATGGCTGGCTGGGCGCTATGGCTCATGCCTGTAATCCCAGCACTTTGGGGGGCCAAAGAATCACCTGAGGTCAGGAGTTTGAGACCAGCCTGACCAACATGGAGAAATCTGTCTCTACTAAAAATACAAGATTAGCCAGGTGTGGTGGCGCATGCCTGTAATCCCAGCTACTCAGGAGGCTGAGGCAGGAGAATTGCCTGAACCCAGGAGGTGGAGGTTGCGGTGAGCCGAGATCATGCCATTGCACTCCAGCCTGGGTAA